TCGGAGGATGCAAACTCGACAATCGTGTGAAGTGTTGACGGTGAGAAGTGAGAGTCAATGTCAAAATGCAAAGAATGAAAATGGTTCATTGTGGGCGGTTGGGTCAGTGAAATTGGCAGCAGGACTCCCCAATGCTCAATGAGGGGTAGTGTTGATCCAAAAAACGAATCAAAAGCCAAGTTAATTCCGCCCACCTGATTGGCTAAGTTAAGAACTCCACTTTTCACCAATATGGTGGTAATATTGTGGGAGCTACGCCAGACAATGGAGTCCGAGATCTACAAAAATCGGTTGTCGTGAGTGCATCCGGTCTGCCAGGATTAACACAGTTATTTGCAGCCTCTGCTTTCACCTTAACTTGTTGTGCATTGATGAGTGATTGCTTCAAATCGATGGTCAAAACGTCAGTGGAAGCGTTAACCTTAAGTCTTCCAGTTTACAAGTGAGATCTTCTTGGCGTGCAGCCTACAGCGATTGAGAGTGGGTTATATGAAAGAGGCATTTGGCGATGCCTCTTGAAGAGAGTTGGAATGGAGTGAACGGATGAGTGGATGCAAATCCGACTTCCATGTCGACTGAGGGGCTCAGGATAGAATATTGCATTTGCTAATGACTTTTTCAAGGAGCAGGTGAGACAATCAGACCCAACGGCATTCGGCACTTCCGATCCGTTCCAGAGTCTCTCTGACATTTACCCATTCAGTCGCATGTGCACTTGGTTTTGTCCAATGTACAGCTTCTGTTATGCAGTAAAGTTGTCCTCCTGCTCAAGCCGGTTTCGCAACTTCACCTTTGGAGTTCAGTGAATTCTTCCAAAACAGACTCAATTGGAGGACATATTACAAAACCTAGAGACTAGCTTCACCTGTGATGAGTGAGAGGCACAGTAGGTGAGATGGAGCACTTCACTACAATCTCCGATTGGAAGACAGCGCATTTGGCTAACTTCTCCTGCAATGTATGCCCAATTAAATGTCGACAGGCTTCATAACCTTTCCTCATGCCCACGGAAGCAAATGCTGTTAATTTTGATGAAACGAGAATCTCTCATACATAGTGCAAAAGTTTTAGTAAAATTAGCAATAGCACGAAAGCAATTACTCTCAATAATTCATGACTTTGCTCGCTGTACAAACCACTTGCTTCGTTTAAGGCTATGTTGATCTGGTTAAAACCTTTCATTTTGGAATTCTTCAGACGTCACCAACAGCCTCGGAACTCTTGAACGAGCAATGCATCTTCTACAGCATGTACTTTGTTACGGTAGGGAAAGCTACAGGTCCCATACGGCAACTAATTCAATCATTCATTAATGAAGGTTTGTCAATCCCCTAAACATTTAAAAAAGGTGTATTTCATCCACTTCTATCCAAATAAATAAATCGTGAAACTAGATTTCTACCTACATTCAAAACAGAGTCAGTTATTTTATAAGCCACCAGACTTAGAAGGTTCTTTCGGTGTCCTTCAGATTAATTAATTTGCACAAAAATTTGACTTCAGTTGAGCTCATATCTTTCTGTTAGACCTTCCATCATTTCCTTTATTCTGATCAGGGACGAGGTGATTAGTCGTCCAATACTAGCCATAATCCCACGTGGGGGGGTGGGGCTGATACCCAAGCCGTCTTACTTCTAGCCCGAGGTAAGTGGTTCATATATGCAAATTTGAT